ATTCTGCTCGATCGACTGGTGTGGAGAAATTCATATGTTACTGGTCAATGTTGAGAATACGGTAGGCTTGAAGGTGGAAAACTGCATAACGTTATGAAAATAACTATATCTCATCAATGAAGTGAAACTGCTCGACAAAATTATGTTTTTCTGAATTTAGACGTTCCGCTGAATCGGATGGTGTTAAGATATTCAGATGTTCCTGGGCAAACCTGAGAAGACGGTGGTCCTGAAGGTGGCCACTTCAATATTGCTATAACAACGTGTAGATGTATAGCGATCAATGTGTGATGTATCAATATCTGATACTGCGCTAGTTGAGATAGCTTTGATAAAATTGCTGTATCTCCTCAAGTAATCAAAATCACCCGATTAAATACATGCTTTTATAAATCTAGAGATTCTGCTCGATCGAATGGTGTACACAAATTCATATGTTACCGGTCAAAACTGAGAATACGGTAGGCTTGAATGTGGAAAACTCTATAAATTATAAAAATAGCTATTTCTCATCAATTAAAAGGAATTGCTCAACAATATGTTCTCTGAATCTAGACGTTCCGCTGGATCGGACGGTTTAAAGATATTCATGTGTTGCTGATCGAACCTGAGAAGACTGTGGTTCTGAAGATGGCCACTTCAATATTGCTGTAACAACGTGTAGACTGATGTATAGCGATCAATGTGTGATTTATCAATAAGTGAGAACAGTGGGTTCTTTGTTTCAGTTGGAAAATGTCCTTCTAAACCTTGTGCCTGCAGCTCATATGATAGATAATTTTATTCAGAACGGGTTTCGATGTGTTCTAGCCTAATTGCTTACTCTTTTAACATTTGTGACCAATGGTTATCGTTCGTCATACTTCTAAAAATGCGATGTGGCGAACTGCTCGCAGAATTGGCGTATTCTCCTAACTGCTTAATCGCGGACAACGAGCAGAAGCCAACTCACCGGATTCACTTGATGATTACCGGATTAAAATGGATTAGTCGTTATCAAACGATTGAATCAGCAAATCTTAAAGTGTGAGATCTCCTATTCTATTAGAGCTTGGAGCGTATTGTTGACTAGAGGATTCATTGTATTCCGGTAAAAGGGATCGATTGCTGTTTCCATTCGCGGTAATTGGAAGTGACGATGGTACGGCAACAGAGACTGAAGATAGAATGGTTAGCCTCTATTATTTTGTTTCTCTGTTCATATTTTCACTCACCTAATTATTCGAGGAAAACTGGAGTGTATTCCCACAATGTTGTATTACAATACCTGCTTTGTCATTGGCATTATTTTTGTTTCTGTCAAAATTTCACCCACTGATAGGTTACGGCAACTGGATTCTTAAAAGCCTGGTTTAGAATTTTGTATTTGTCGAAGAAAAACCACTCAGTAATCGGTTGATTTCAGTGACGATGTGAAGGAAGCAGTGGCAAGATATGCAGAGGGTTCGATAAGCGTCAGAGGAGCGGTGGCTGAATTAAAGGCCAAAGGAATTTCCATATCAACGGCCACGATCGCAAAATATGCACGCTTGAAAGTGAGTATATGAGATTCTTCGACAGAGTTTTCCTTGAATCGTCACAACAGAATTCAAATGATGATAAACTGAATGCTGTCAGTTTGCTGATTTTATCTATGAGCGCATGTTTTCAGACTGGTGTTCGGAAAGTGTTCAGCGATAATGGAACGTTGCGGATGTCACTTTCACGAAAACTGCATCGAACCATACTGAATATTCGTGAGGGATCGGGTGTACGCCAGTATTGCCTTGTGAGTGGAATAGAAGAACGACGACTGAAACGATACAAATGTCAGCAATGCTTCAATCTGCGTGCCACTGGAACATTGGACAAAGTTCCCGTGATCCACGTGAGAGAGGGCAAGATCGAGGGTGATATACATCCAGTGCACGATCACAGATGCAAGCCACTGAGTGTGGAGGAAGTGATTGCTGTGGCTGAGGATCGAGAGAGTAGACTGCGAGTTCGGCAAGGTCTACAACAACCCAAAGCTGCTTTCAACGAGGTAATTTTTTCAGTGCCTGCCTCGTCTTCCTTGTAACTGACTGCTTAGCTCGGTTCTTTCGAACCACTGCAAGTGATTCGTTGATGTTTCTGTGCGGCAAATTTGCTCTTGCTAAATTTCAGGGATTCGATCGTATTGTACAGCTGGCCAAGAATTCAGGTGAATCAGCGAGTAGAGCGTTCACTATGTCTACAATCTATCCATCGTGGAATCGAGTTGCGCATTCGTACTATCGAGCAAGACGATACGCGTTAGAATTTTGCTTCATCTTTAAAATTACATCTTCATTCATTCGAAAGTTCTTCCGATGCAAAGTGGATCACTTGTTCCATTTGGAAAATCTCCTCCCAAAATTGCATGTATGGATTTGTGCATATGACTTCATTCAAGGTTGAAAAATTACAATTTACGTTTCCATTTCCGCAATTGAATGTTGAGAGATTTCGTTATCGCTATGCTAGAATGCGTTCACAACTAGATTTTATTGAACATATTACTTGATGATTGATGGAGTGTTATTCAGGAAGAAACAAAAAAATAATGAAGATGCTGAACACGTCAGTGACACCAACAATTCTCTGGCAACAACAGCCACCACATCATATAACAGTCAAGTTTCTGAGCAATCCTCCGATGTGTATCGCGCAGAAGTCGTCGACTCTTCATCTCATTTAGTTGATCCATCCACTTATGATCACATTCCGCACAACTACGTTCATTCCGAGCCTGGAAGCGCCACCACCACCTTTCGTCACCAAGCAAGTGCCGTTTCGGCCAAGGATGGGCANGATGAGGGTGAATTGGTTAAATGCGAATCCTATAATGTCAATCCGATTTCAAATTTCCGTCGAACTGATGTCATCCAGGAGGGCATCATTCAACCGGATCAAGGAAATGAGATTGGAGAAGATGAATGGATTTGTGTGGAGTTCATAGACGAAGCTGATATGGCGGCGGCCTCATCAAGTCATGAAGTGGCATCGCCCAGTGGTTACTCACTCTATCAGCCTGTCATTGAGTCGCAGCCTCATCCCACTTACGATAATGATTATGAAGATAACAAAGAGGATCATCCAGAAACGTCCACTAAACTGAGTGAATGTCAACGAAACGAACGTGAATGTGCATCTGAAACAGATTCCCAACAAGAGGAAATCATCGATCCGGGCACGTATGCTCTTGCACCTCCACCATCGAGTGACTATGTCGAGGTGATATCCAATAATCAGCCGCAAGGATTCATTGACTCAAAACTGACACTGAGGGATATTCTATTACCGCGATATTATAAACGACCACAGGGAATAAAAAAGTCAAACGTCAAAAAGAGGTCGTCGAAGAATCGTTTGCGAACACCTTCAGTAGAGCAGATGATTTCAACGAATTGTGGAGCAGCAGTTAACGATCAACTGAGCTGTGTTTCGAGCGATCGGTGCAGTAAAATAGGTTCGTATTTTTGTTTTGCTTTTTACGAAATGATGTGAGATGATTTTAGAATGAGAGCTGGAAAGTTCGAGGAACGTTAACATTAAAAACACTTGAAGTTTTCAGAGTAGTTCTGGGTAATTTTTAGTGTTGTGAGTATAGCGAGGATTTGCTTTTGTTTTTGTTATAAAGGGGATATTGAATGAGGTGAATTTAAATTGTGATGTTTTGAATTGTGTTTGATTTTAGGTAATCTAATAATGGATAATCTAAAAAGAGCGTATGAAGAAGATAAGGAAGTCGGTGTACAACTGGAAAGTGAATTAGTAAAAATTGTTAACAAATATCATGAAAAGAAGAATCATATGTATTGAAATTTTTTGAGGTTCGCAAACATTGTATTATATATGGCAGGGTGATAGGGCTGTTTTTGTTCATGAATTCATTCGTATGTTTGATTTAATTTTTGTTCAACGATGATTCAGTTTGTTTGAGTCGTTTCTTGAGCGTTTTTTGTATTCCTCATTCGCAGTTTTGAAAATTTCGCTAATTTTTGTNGTGGAGAACAGTGGAACACATTTATCGTAAATATCATCTTCATTCATAAAAAATTCAGAGTTGAGCTTTTCAGTGCGCGGCACCTAAACCATCCACTGACTGATGGTTATTTTAAGGAAAAACATAACGAACAAGAAAGTGATCAGTAAAATTGTTTGACAAAAACAGCAACAATAATGATAATAATAGAATAATCATACTTTCATATATATATGTACACATTCAACCGGATTTGCATTCATACACGTTAAGAATAATACGAATTTGACACCTAAACAATAGCAGATCAAATAAGCTCGTATAACCGTCACAGCATTATTGACACTTTCCATCTGATATCATGTCCGAATTGGATCGTCGCTGTTTTTCTGCTTCGATGGTTCGGTTCGAGTGCTTCACATCAATCAATCAACAACTGTAATCTTCGAACTAGTCTCATCACTTTACCTCGGATCATATTTTGTTTAACTAAATTTGAAAAACATTCCCGAACCTAATCTATATTAGAAACTCTCCAAAATACTACCGATCCACGCCTTGTCGCACGACTCTGAATCTGCTCGGATAGCGGTTCGTAATATCTCTATATGGGAACATTAATGAAGTATTGGAGCTGGTTAGATTTTTGTCAAATGATGAATCCTTATGCTCTATGCTTTACTAACACTAAAATTCCTTTTTTTTGGTCGTCGAAGAAACAGAGGAATGGTCAGTACCTCAACAGGATTCTCAGGTTCTGATGCTGCTTAGGAAATGAATATTTCTCTCGCGATTAAACGTTTTCACATATNAGATAAAGATTTTGTTATGTGGAAACAGCTGAAACGAGAGTAACTTATCTAATGCAATTTTTGAAGAGCGATTAACCTGTATTATGGTATCATGGGATTTCTATTGTATCATTGATGTTTTGTTCACATAAATTACAACAGTATGAAGAGTCAGTGATAACGATGAATAACGATTACTACAAACATATACGTAATTATGAACAGCCGCAAGGAAAATATTTGTTGACGAACATTGAGATACTCTTATTAAGTTAGTGAAAACAAATAAAAAAACTGTGAAAGAAATCATCATCGCACCGGAGTATCAACCGGATTGAGTTCGCTAATGGAGACATACGATGACTCGTCCTCAAACACTTCCTCACTCGCCAACGACGGAACCAGGTCACCATCAGGAGAGTCGGCTGGACTCCGGCATCGATACCGTGATCTGTTTACAGCATATCATTGTCAAGTACGCATTACCGTAAACAATACATATAATCAAATAGCATAAGTCATGAAATTGTCAATAATGAAAACTGCGAAAACAAACAAATCATAACATCATCCAAGGAAGGCTCAAATCTTACCGATAACAATCGGTTGTTTCAGAACGAGCACGACTCTTGGCTGAATGGGGACGTAGCAAAATGAACGACGTAGAGCATGGATTCGACGTGGAGCATTCGGCACGACCCTCCGGTGATTCGTTTTCAGACGTTGTGCTTACTGTTCGAAGACGATCCTTCGACCTAGAAGTTCGAACTAAAATAGAATACTTCTTAAACAGGCAAAACACTGTGCTGAATTGAAATCGCTAGCGTGAGTGATAATTTATTAGTATTATATATGACCATAACAATAAACGAGATTTCATTAAATCATTCGAATAATCAATTACAGAATCAAGTGTTTCCATACTTTGTTTCCATACTGTGATGTATGAAAACAACTTACCGTTATATCAAAGTTCACATTTTGATGTTTATAACCAGGTGACAGAGTGGATCAACGATCTTTTTATAATATCACAACAAATTGTATAAGTTATATTGTCACTAGCCAGGAACGCAAGTTTAAGTCACCAATGAAAATAGTAGTAAATGTACGGCTGAACCGATGACAGAACAGGTAGACGTTTTCATAAGATCAACCTGGTGTTTATGGTTGACTTTTTGACGTTTTTATACGAATTTCCGGTCGGATACCACCAATTCATCACACCACTCGGCTGACGTCTGCACTCCACAACAACACTGTCCTTGCAATAGCCATGAACCGATAAGCCACAATCTTTGCATTTGAAACCTTGTCGGATCAGACCCCATAGCTGAATATGTTATTATCTCTGAGGATGAGGAATAGCCATGCTCTAATCATCCGATCCAAAATAAATGTTGATCGATTAACCACAAGAATGAGAAGAAGGCGATAACTGAAGCACTCACCAATTTCCCACAATGTGCGCATGATGTTGGAGTGAGAAAAGTGGTTTCGTGAAAGTTATGCTTGAATCCCTGTCGGAATTCCATTGAACGTTTGTTCGCTTCAATGAAATATGCCTTCATCTCGGACTTACTTATTTGACCATCACTGGAAATACTCCTCATAGATTTTCATTTCAATATATGGATCGATTTTCTATTGCATAGAATCACTGCAGTCAAGGTGTACCATTTGAATGTGAGTGTCATTTCCCAAATGAACAGTATTTTAAATTCTATATGAAGAATATCATGTTATCCAATATTATTACGAACACTGTTCTTTGTTCAGAATCAACCACTAAAAAACGCTCTGACATGCATCAGTATCAATCAAATCAGATAACATATCCAGTATTCACACACAAATCATAAGCGTATTGTAGGGGAGGGCAATTTGAGTGATTGGATGGTAATTTGATCAATATACCGATCGCTATCGATTGATCCGAACGAGTCGATAAACGGGAAATTGCCGACAATTTGCTGGAATTCCAGTCGCGATATGCATCCGTCTTTGTCATGATCGTAGTGCTTGAAAACCGCATCGACCATCGCCGACACGTGCTTATTCACCGTTTCCGAGTCCAACGCTGAGCTTACGCCTGAAGCCCAGTCAGCGAACACCACCGATTTGGCGGTGCCTTGGAACTGCAATTTCACTCATTTATTTGCAGCTGATTTTGAGCATGAACAATTTTGTAAAATATGCCAGATCAACTAGAAAATTTATGATTTCCACAATTTTTTATTCCACCGTTCAAGGTTTCAGTTCGCTACCATTGATTCAATATTCTTATCTTAACATTCACCCCAACAGACAACCTGATGAGGTAATACAGCTTGAAAAGTTGAAAGAAAGTTTTTGTCAAAGTCGCATAAAATACAGCAAGGAATGTGAACTTTCATTATTTGACGTTTCAACTGTTTCACTGATATGATTAAATGATATGGGAACGGTTGTCAAGCGATTTGAGATACAACTATGGCTCTAGTGACAATATGAACACCATAAGTTTATAGCGATCATAACACCGCAATAATCTTTAATCACAGAAGATGTGTTATCTGATAATGTTGATAATTGAGATCTAACTAACATTCAACAGTGTTCTTGGTTCACGTTTCAGTGAGAGTTGATAAATATCGTCTTCATTGTATCGTATATCTAATGAGACCTTAAACGTTCATTCAGGATTACTGATCGAAAATGCGCCATATTCATGAAACCTAGGGCCTTAGACAGAACATTGAGCAAGAGCTTTCAACGGCTCCTTACTATTGCTATGCTGAAATTTTCATCAGCTATTTTTGGTTACACTGCAATACGTCAACAATGAGCGATTGATAAAATGCTAAACAAACATACAAAGAGAAATAAATATGATAGCGATCAACCGAATAAATGAACAACCGAAATCACCTTAAGCGTGTTAATGAGATCAATACTCGCATCTGGAAAATTGTGTGGTGTCCGATTAAAGCAAACAAAAAACGACAGCAGATGCGCTAAATTGAGGATCTTTTCTCGAGTCACCATACAACTACGATCCATACAACCATCTCTTACTTGTATAGCGATCAAATCTTTCAGATGAACACCCCTAAAATACCATTCTGTGTCTTCCATTTTCATTCATTGGATTCTTTCCGAACACCTTTCGAATCATAATTTCATTACATTCTCATTACAATCATAATTTCATTACAGTAATACTGAACATTATGCCGCCCAAGGAATCTAAGTGATCTCCCGTAAGAACAATAAAATAATATAAGCATTAAAGTATTGCTGACAGAAACAATTCAGTGAGAATATTCAATATGGAAAAGCATTTTGCAGCAATTCAAGGCAAGTTTAGAAATTTTAGTGTAATTGTACACAAATCTTGTGAGGAACTTACATAATCGGTATACGAAAAGAGTCTGACGTTTCGCTGAGTGCTCGTCGATAACAAGCAAAATTTGATTGTGTTGACAGAAGTTGCGTAAACGTCACCAGTTCCTGTAGATCGTCAGCTCATACAGGGACATACAATACGGATAAAGATAAAGATGATAGGATACGGGTGGATGCAATGAAAAATGACTCGAACAATCACAACCAATTGAGAGACTGGAGCAATAATTCAGTCTTGACGATCAGTTCAAGTGATTTGATCAATTGGCATTCCTAAGAATAAGTGGAAAATTTCGGCATCTTGAGAGAGAAATTTTAGCATTCATGATAAACGATAATGAGGCATGCATACACACAACACACCCGTTTGATATCCGCGGATAATGCAGACGACGTTTTTGACAAACGTGCGATATTACTATGCGTGACACCACCAATAACTGCCATCAATGTATTGAAATTATTCAATTTCCTCAGATGCTGCA